AATTCGGTGGAGAAATGGTCTCACAGTTGATGTGTTTTTGTCGTCGGTCGCCCCAAAATGGGAATGGAGGGCATCGGGGTATAAAAATTTCAACGAACGAGAAAGTGTCAGTGTATATTGAACTCTATTTTTTCCACCAACTACCCTCTGTCCCACGCCCTTGGACGTGAGACAGCGTCCAAAGTAAACTCAAATTGAACTCTTCCTTCACCACAGTCAACCATTTATCGTTTGCAACGATATTCCACGTTGAGACTCCTGGCCGGACGATACCGAGAGCGATCCGCCAGTTGTGCCATGGATGGAGCTTGAGCGGCGGGAGGTACATAAGCGGGAGCCACATATGGCGCATATACACCACTATCCACAGCGCATATCTATGTGTATTTACGAAATAAGCACAGTGTGGGGCAGCGGGGGCGCCCGAGAGTGAGTGAGACACAGGGAAATGTTGGAAAAACGAATGTATAAGTGGCAGCAGATCCTCTTTCCACATTTGGCATCAAATATTTATGCGTTTTTCCAAGCAAACATATGGAGCTTGCACCAGAATTTGTGAAAAGGGGCTGCTTTTTCAAATATTCCAAACATTTGCATACATCTATACATAGTGCGATAAGATATTCACCTCACCACGAATGGGTGTGTTAAATTTCAATGCGAGACACACTAAATTGCTCAACTGAACAAATGAATGAAATGAAACTTCTTTTAATAATAATGCTTTTGCTATTGTGGCAAAAATAAATTCGTATTTCAATTTTTTAGCACACGGCCTTCCATTCTGGGATGGCATGAAGCAATCTTGCATAAAACCGCTTTTATCAGTGCAAAAGATGATAATTAGAAGCATGTCTTGGGTGAGACGTAGAGAGTCGACGAGAAGCCTTTTTACTGACAGTCCTTTGCAGTTTGTATGTCCATAGACTTTCGGATATGTTCCTTAGGAGATCTGATCCGTTTTTCTTTTATGAGGAAGCGTAGGACTAGAGAGAGTCACATGTTTGTTGTTCCGATGCTCTACAGCGATTATTTTCGAAGGACACTGACTTAGAGCGATTACAGACCTGCGGATTATCCTCGAATTGGCGCAAACTGAGATCAAACCTCCGTGGATGAGCTTGGAGTGTGTAAAAATCAGCTGAGCGACAAATTGTGGTTGATCTGTAGCTTTACACACTCAAATATGGATCAGCGACAATTCGTGGCTTCACTGGCGCTAAACACACTCAGAGGTTATTCTTCTTTGTCGACACTAGCGACAATTTTGCTTCGTATTTCCCTCTCAGCTGACAATTGATTTGTTCATTTTACGATAAAATTGCGAAAATGGAAGATTCGCAGAAGAATTGATTGATTTTGAGAACTCAAGAAATCCGCCATTTTGTGCGTTTTGAGCTGTCAAATGTTTTGGCGAATTTTCGGCCGAGCGCTGTCATCAAGAGCCCCAAAAATGTCGAGTGAGCCTTCGATATATCGAGGGATTATTCGCATTTTATGGCTCAACGAATCTCATCTCAAGGCTAAGACGGCGATGGCCGCATGAAAAGTGGGTGAAAAAAGCGCGAAATAATGAATAAAATAATGAAATTGAATTGAATTTGTTCAAAGCTTGTAATTTCCTTTTATTTAGAATAATTCCTAAATCAGCTTTCAAGCTTCAATTGCCACAAAATACGCTTCTTCCTCGACTGCTCAGCTTTGCGTGCTAATCAGAAAGTTGCGAAAGGCGAAACATTTATGAGCAGGAGATGACAGAATTATTATTATTTTCAATCAGTGCAGAATTAACAGATTACATTCACGGATCATGGATTTGTGAAATCGTGTTATATGCAAAGCTATATTTTAATTCTCATATGTAGATTGAAATATATCACAAATTCTCTACTCTCAATTTGCATAATCTTTTGAGATATTACATTTTGATGTGTCTAAGACAGAGAATCCTCCTGGGCGTGTGTAATAAAGTCCTAAACTCAATTCATGTAAATTCACAAAACAGTCATGCGATTGCATACGATTTTATTATGCGCTGATGAGTGAATTTTCGCAAATTTATTCAAATATCACTATCAAATATTAACACATTCGCCATGTCAGCGGAGGTGATTGCAGTGAATTTAGTGTTAAATATGTAAAAGTGGGTATCTTTATCAAGAAATTGAATTTCATATAGATGCCAGGTGGCTGATAAAATTTTCAGGTAAATCCTGGGTGCATAGATTGCAATTAATTTTAATAGCTTCCGCAACTAAACTCACTTATGCACACATGAACCCCCATATATTTCCATATTTTCCCCGTATGCCACAGATCAATGGCTGCCAACACATGTAAATTGTGTTTTCACAGGTTTGCGATATGTGTAAACATCAAAACTGCATATCATTGCACTGCCAGGATTTAACTGGGAAAACGTATACGGATTGGATTTCCACAGAATAACTACAGTTAATTGATACTAATGAAATCAATTTAAGACAACCACCCTATCAGTTGATTAGGGTTTCAGTCCCCGGTAATTTACATGTGTGAATTCAAATATGCACAGATTACATTCAATTGGATAGTCACTCCAAGGGGGAGATATTATGGTCAGAAGTGGTGTACAGCTTTTGAGGAAGTCTTGATGAAAAAAAACCGCAAAAGCTTCTGTTTCAACAAATTTTATTGCTTTTTCTAGGTTATGTGATTGATTTAAAACCGATTCTGACGTTTAAAAACCTCTCTAAATGATCAAATTTGTGTTTAATCGGGGAATATTTCACATTTTCTTTCTAGAATTCAGCATTTTTGTTCAGAATAACTTCATATTGTTTAGGAAACAGTTTAAAAGTCAATCATAACCTCAAAAATATCATTTCAATCAGGATGAACGTCTCTTTGCTCAGTCATTTCCGCTGTTTGTGCTTAAGAAAGGCAAATTGAAAGAAAGAAAACTAGAAAATCAAGACAGAAATTGTTCGTGAACAAATCCTCAGATATTAAGATCAATTCTTACAACCCGATATTTAAACATTTCATATAGAAAAATCTAGATTAGATTGTGACAAAAGTTAGAAAATAGTGTAAGAAACAGTTGAAGAAGTCCCTTTGAGTGCGTTCAGGAGTGTCTGAAATATTTGTAAAGTGTCAGAAAATGGTGTACAGATTCAAGGACATGTAATAACTCCCCCTTGAGTCACTCAATGCTTCTGCACGCATAGCGCTTCAATTGGAGGAAAAAGAAGCATTGTTTCGCGCTCGCATTTGAATTACTCGCTGTGCAATCCACAGAGGGAAGACTTTAATGTAACAGAGGATGAGGATGGATTAGAAGGAGTATTTAAGACAAGGATTATTCCGGAGAATTTTCACTGTTTATCTTCAAACACCTCTTAAGTTGCTCGTTGAGGTGTTGGCCCCTCGCTTTGGCTGTTTTTCGTGGCACAGAAGGTGGGAATCACACTCCAGAGGGCGTATAATTGCAATTTTCCCGGCTACCTGGGCGCAAACAAATGGCATTTATCGTGAAAAACACGGGATTTCAGCATCAGCTCATCCGGTTGCTGTGGGGAACGCCAGCATAATCCCCAACAATCAATCCACGCAATGGAGCTGTATGTAAACAAAATTATTTCTTCTGCTCTCCACTGTCGTGCTTGTCGTATTTTATTCACCGCATCCCCGGCTCCCTCGAGAACTCGAGGACACACAATGTGAGCCAACTGCCCCGAAGGAAAACCACATTTCCACCTGTATCAGGAGGCGAGAGGCGGAAAAAAAATCAAGCAAAACAATAATACAGATTAGGGGTCTTGGTCTCTCGGCACCGAAGACACCAATTAAATCACCCAAGGGAATTGCGAAATTTCGTTATTATCGGGAAAAAAAAACATACGGGATTGTCGTGAAAATGTGATGGGGGGCTTAACAGAGGGTGAAAGAGCGGGGAAAATGCCCTCCTTTCAGGGTAGAAATTTTATAATGAAGATTTGAAAGCAACATGAACTGTGTTGCGATGAATGAAGAAAATTACCCAGTAAAGTATTGATTAGCATTAATAAGAAATATTGATTTGAAGTTAGCAAGACGAACTCATATTCTATTGAGTTATATATAGTTTATTATATATAGTTAATGCCGGGAAATATTCATCATCTCGCAAAAGCATACTTCAAAAGGCCTTTTGTGAGAATTTAATTACAGTATTTGAAGCTAGAAATTATATCCTTTTATGCAGTATGTGCATTGCGAAGGAAATATAAGTTGCGTTATATAAATGGAATGTCATCGCGAATATATATAGTGTATATAATGTGAAGAAGTAGCACTTTTTTTCCAGCCAAAGTGAGACTTTTCAGAAGCAACTCTGAATGTTAACAATTGATCGGCTTGTTGAGAAAATAAACTGATGCTGTAGCGGAAGTTTAGTCCATTGAAAAGTTTTCAAAAGTCACTTCGGATCACTTGAATTTTATCAGAACCAATTGAATAAAGAAAAAAATCTGCTCAACTTTTTTTTCTCTCTCACATGCCAGACTCAAATTAATCCAAGAGTGCACTTAATTGTTCGCGGAAAGGCTGGCGAATGAAACTTAGGACCAATTCTATATGTTTCATCCGCCTGTGAAATTAAATTGTACTTTGCTTAAATATTTGAAGGATCACAAACATGGTAGAAGTACCGGAGAGGATGATGGCTCTTCGGGAATATTAATGGCTCTCCATTGAACCATCCCCGTTAAATCTTGAATTTTACCACGAATATTCATTAGACTACACATTCATTTGAATGGTTGAAGTATTGCGTGGTGCGTATTTTTGGCGCTCACTTTGTTTGAATTTTAAATGTTGCGTAAATATTTTAGGAATCCCTCCTCATCTGTTTTCACATCCTGCCCATAATCCCGCAGGTGAATGCGGAAATTCTTCGAATTCTAGCCATTCTGCCCGATGCCCCGGGGGTTGCCGTCAATTAGGACCACTCGGGGTGGCAGCGTGTGTCATCCACTTACCGTGAGTGACCAGCGTTGCCAGGTAGATGATGAACAGCACTCGCCGGTAGGTGAATCGGTAAGGCAAGATGTTGAGTGTGATGAGTGCATACTTGATGACATTGAGCAGCAGCATTTTGTCTCGTTGTTTTTCCTGCTGATCGCTCAGAAGCACATGAATGTTTTCGCGGGCGCGTAAAATCACACGATTAATCGTTGTATTAGCTGAAATTCGCACGGTTTTTTGATGTTTTCCACTTACTGTGCCGCGCCTCACCGTCTGCACAATTCAACCGTGAGCAATTTCCGAGAAAACGGGTGGAAATCTCGCAATGTCTGGCGCAAAATTCACTTTACAGCGTCATCAACATCACTTGGCAAAGTCCGTCGAACGGTGCGAGCTTGAATAGCTGGCGGGCGAGCACGATGTAAATATTTAAACCCAATTTAATCGCACAACAGAGTTTCAATCACTTTTTTATTGATGTTTAATTCGCTTTGATAGCTTATCATTCATGGAAAAACGTACAAGTAATTACGATTATGCGTGGGAAGCATCTAAAGTAGGGCGAGACGGTGAAGGAAATTGATTGAAATATGCAGCCATAAAAGACATCCAGTCGGCTCGAATGCAATGGAGGTATAGAAGGATAATAAAAATGAGCCGCACGGTGTTTCCCACACCCATCATAATTGATAACATGTTTTCCACTTTATGGCAACAAATTATGCCCAAAATTCTCCGTCATTCTTCGCATACAGTTTAATTATTTCAGCATGATTCTGCTGTGCGCGGCGAACAAACAGGCTCGCCACGTAGGATTATGTATAAATTTTTAACTTTTTATCTGGCGCTAAACACGAATTGTTGCTCACTCATTTAATTAAAAAAAATTCTCTGCACACTCTGGTGAGAGAGTTCAAGAAAGGACTTTTTGCACTAGTGCAGAAACAGTGCTGAATTTCATCAAATAGTAGATTACTTTTTTGTCAAGAAGAAGAAGTCCAACAGCAGTCGAAATAAGAGAGATTTTCAAGGAGTCTTAAGAAAACTTTGAGATTGCACAGCGCCCTGAAGAAGCTGTTCAATTGAGCAGTGGAAGAAAATTCACCATTCAGGATAATTTTGATTTTAAGACTTAGATTTCCTTGGAATCCATTCAATGTCTTCCTAGAAAACCTGGTAAAAATACAAATTATCTCTGTCACGTAAAATATCACGGGAAAAAATACAATTCCACGAAGTTTTTTTGGGAAGCTCATAAATCTCCAACGGACTCTTTTCGAATGGAGTAGTACAGTGTGAGTGACAGTGGATGAATTAAAAGCTCACGACGTAATCTTTTGCCATCTTATCCTCCCTGTTCGTTCGCGCACAAATTCACTTCGCAGCCAATTAAAGTATAATATCGGATTTGTAGCAGCTAAAACTTCCTCAACACTCTTTTCGCGCGCTGAGAAAATGCAAAACGATGTATTTATTTTTTGGGGAAAAGCATACAATTATTCCGAGAGCGTGTGAAATGGTGAAGAACACTATAAATTTTGCAGCACTTAGGCGTGGGGGTGTTTTCCCAGCTTTTCCCTCCCCACAATATGGGATGAGACGGCGCTTGACGGAGGCGCATGGTGAGCGCGAAAGACAGTTAATAAATGGTACTTTTGGTGAGACCACTTCAACCCTATTAAAATGAATGTCTGAATAGACAGAATTTGTTCATTTCCCATTGCTTGACACTCTGTCGTGAATGCTTGAATGTGAAAGAGGTTTTGCGGATAGAGTGGGAAGAGGGAGACTCATCGAAGACGAAACGCCAAATAATGCTCTTTCCTATGTATTCATACGTATATACACAGTGACTCCCCATCCTCGCAATCCCCCACACACCGAAGAGGAGGGAAAAACTTCCACCGCCAACTATTCAACAGTTGTCGTGACACCCTCTGGGATGGATGAAAGTACGCCGAGTTGTGGGGATGGTTTGCTTAATTTCATTTCTATCATCTGTCTCGAGATGCCGCGTATCCAGTGTGTAACATTGGATGGAATTCCTGTCCGAAGGGCCAGAGGAGAGCATCATTTTAAAAATCAATATTGTTTTTTCTTCCACCCTCCCCCCCCCCCCCACGACGACGAGCCCAAGGAGCGCGCACAAGGTGGGAAAAGGGCGCTTAAATACGGTGAATTAAGTCCTTTGAGGATATCTTCCGAATGAATTCTTTAAACACTTCTCACGCAATAAAGGCTCTCCCTCACGCGGACATCAACACAGTCACACCGTCCACACTCGTCCTTCGTCGAAGTGATACTGAATGAGGCACCCTTTCCACGGCTCCAACTCCATCTGCGCTCAGGCTCTCTCGCACAGTCTTTGTCTCTCCGGCGAGTCTCCAAAATATTGGGAGAATGTAAACAGGTGCTGTTGGAGAGAGAAGAGAGAGAAAATGAGAGCGAGATTTTCCATGCGCATTTCCCAAACAAACTCTTTTCTGCAGTTCGTCGGCGCCAAAGACGATTTTCCCAAATCAAAAAAGTCCTTCTTTTCAACTCAGCGATAAGATTTAATGATGCAGGCGAAGAAATACATACTATTAAGTGGATGAAAAGTGATTAAAGTGAGTATTTTATGGTGTGATTGAAACCTTTTGCCTCTCTTTCAAAATTCCAAAATCTTAGGCTTTCTTCAACACCTGCAATACTTCTCTGGCCAACCGACGACTGTTCTTCCATTCAGCGTGGAAATCTTTCTCTCTCTCTCGAGGGAGAGAGAGAGCGATTCGGAGAGTGAGAGAGGCGAGAGAGAGAGGGATAGCATGCCACTGACTTTTCCTCACCCAGAATATCTCAGTATAAGGATGTGAGGCTGAGAAGGAGAGAGATTTTGAGAAAATGAATTACATACAAAGAAAGTTAGAAAATTATATTAAAATAGACGAAAGATAGTCCATGATATCATTTCAAAGTTCAGCGATTTTCTGATAACTGAAATCTCCCGAAAGTGGATTATCGCATTTAGGGGATGAAAAGTTTCCACACCGGCAAGACTTTTGCCAAATTGTGTTTGTGGAAACTTTTCAATTTTCGAATGAGATAAATTTTGGTGGTGAAAAATCATCTGAATGCCAGTGCATTTCATTTTGATAAAAAAAAAGTATTAAATTGAATGGATATAAAATGTTATCTATGGAATAAAAATCCGAGGCCCAGTAAAATATCGCACGCATTCCATCGTGATTTACAGTCATGATTGAAAATTGTATGAATTTTTTAATACGACCACCAATTTCATTGACTTCATAATAGCTTAATTGTGTAATTGATTTTTCCCCCACTTTACGCTCGGAGGCAATTGGTGCACTTCAATATTACACCTATGATTTTCACAGGCGAATCTGCATAAATTCTCCTCAATTTGTGTAACTACAAGAGCAACACAGCCGTTTATGAATATTATTTGCCAATTTACATTAAAACCATGCTTTATGGACGCACTGCTATTATGCCCATTTCCCACTCTCAGCTCTGCATATTTTGCCAAACACGCACTTGGAAGTTTTGCAAAACAATTTTAAGGGAAAATCGCGAAAATGAGTAACATTGTGTTATCACAAAAACACACTCACATGATCATGTTTTTCGGTTGAATATGAATTACAGTATTGGAAGTAATTTTCACAAGGAACTAACGCAATACTTGGAGAAAAAGTATTGTTTATAACATTTTTTTAAGTCTATTTTATGAATTTAAGACAAACTCTTCAACAAAATAACCTTAAAAATCATTTATTTTTGCGCCTAAAGTCGTATAATAGCATTTAATGACACGATTATAATGAAATCTGTTGAAAATCATAAGCATTCAATTTAAAACTGTGCTAAAATTGATCATAACCTCTAAAATATTGTTTCATAATACAAAAATTGCCACTTTAAGAGCTGTTTGATTGATTTTGTACTCTAAAATAGCAAATTTCAGCCCTTTATTTATGCCAAATAAGTTTCTTTCACGGATTCTTCTTGATATCTCAAGGAAATTTATAGATAATGTTTCAAGGAACATGGAAAAGAGCGTTTCAAAATTGAATTATATCAAAATATCTGCTAGAAACTTCAAATATTTCTTAAAAACCAGTTTCTCTGTAAGTTTTCAGGGTCATTAAGGTAAAAATTGCATCTTTTTAAGTCAAAAAGTCGTAAGATTGAGGTTTGAAGACGTGAAGAATATAAGGAGAATGCATATTTGAAGCTTGCCGGAAATGCCAGGAAGTAGTGTACAGATTTTAGCCATATTATCTTCCCCTGTGATTGGAATAGAATTAGCAAAAAATTGGTATTGAATATAGAAGATGAAAAGATATGCGATGTTTGAAGTAATATGTCGATGTTACTCAGAAGCATCAAACGGATGGAGTTTTCTAATTAGTTTTTCACAACAACAGCACACTTTTGCAGCCAAACGAACTCTTATAAATACTTTGTGATTACAGAGAGAGAGAGAGAGAGATTGAAGCTGTGATGCATTGAACGGCAAATATTGTGGGGGAAAATGCGATGTGAAAACTCAATCCTGAGCACAGAACACAGTGACACAATGTATTGCCCGGAAAACTAGAGACACAATACATAATGTCGACTGTAAGTTCATAATTACTTCCCAGCCGAAGGGCTGAAGAGACTGTGAGAAAATCATTGGAGTGATACATTGAATGTTTATGTGCTCTTCGGTCACTGAGCACAAATTACCTTTTACTTACCTCTTGTACCCATCTTTAATGACATTCACGAGAATCCACTGGCTCAACCACATCCCAGGGTTGTAGGCTGATTTTCCATCAATGCGATCGACGGACGGCACAGATCATAATATCCCAAACACGTGCCCTTTTGTGGCACAATGTGTGCGCATATGTGTGAATCCCTCAGAGCAATTCGGGGGTGAATTTTGGGGGGTGGCAGAAAGAGGGAATATGTTGTATATCATCCTAATTGCCGCTACATGTGAATTTTAATCATTTCGCATATCTATTGTGTAATATTGCATATCTAATTTGTTATTCTGTGTAAATTTTCCAATAATTTGATGATGTTATTAAATTTAGACCAGAATATCAAATTTTATTCCAGGTAATTTCGATGAAATTACTT